AGATTAACTTTAATTATCCATTTTCAGTATTCGTGTGCTTGCGCCCATTGGAGGCATTATATTTATTTACAATTGTAACTCTCATCAATAAAACACCACTTTTTGGGACTTTGTCTCAAGATGTTTGTCCCTTACACAATCATCTAAATTCATTTTTAATTGTTAGCGACTACCCGCGCGAAACACTTATAAATGTTATGTTATTCATGCAGCAAGCAAAAATCTTAAGCCAATTACACGTACTCATAAAATAAAATAAATATAAACGATCTAGGAAATTGCCACCGAAAACACGATCTCAAACTTAAATTTGCATTTAAATTAATATTTTTTTATAATAATTATAATTGATGCCTTACATTTTTTGATATTGAGAACAATGACCTTTATCATAAATATACAATAATTGTTAATAATTACTAATTAGTAATTAAATTATAATAATTCAACTTCATTTAGGAATTGTATTCAATTGAGACTTCCGAAGATTTGGATGGATTTAAAAAATTTAGGGATATTCAATTCAAAAAATTTTAAGACGGATATTGATATATTCAATAAAGACATTTTTAAAAAAAAAAATCTTTAGAAATGATATTCAATTAAGACTTTCGTAGCAGTTTTTAGGTAATTAACTTTTATATGGAAAGTACAAAAACAAATCTCACAATTTCTACATTCTGCAAAAATAATAATAATAATAATAATAATAATATGTATTTTTTATTATTTCAATATTTCTCTTTCCTCTTCCTACGAATCTTCAACTTTAATTTCGAGAAGCAATAACGGAAACAAAAATGTATTACATGCACAACATATGAAGTAATTGAAAAGTGGAAAAAAAGTACGTATATTTAAACTTTTGTGCCAAGATTGATGGTTAGATCAAATTAATCTAATCTTTGATTCCTTTTGGTTATGCTTTTCAATAGAGGAATACTCATTTCTACAAAGAGAGAAATTGTTGACCAAATCTCACAAAGGGGCTTTTCTTAGTAGAGTAGCACACATTTGAGAAGTTAAAACGTGTGGTTACTTTGTGTCGGGTTAATCCCATGACACTTAAGGAGCAACACATTGTATCTCAAGGGTTCAATACATTTTTTCTAATTTGAATGAAAAGAGTTGTAAGAATAAATTTCCTTCCACTGGTCCATAATATAATAAACAGAGTTAAACAGCATAGATGGGCAATCCTCATTTCGGAGTCAAAAACTGAAAACCAAGGATATCCTGTTTCGTGCATGAAACTGTGAAAAGCTCCAGCAGTCCGTGATAAACTTGGCGAAGTTTGATTTGTTTGGTACTCCTATGTATCGTATTGATAAACCAATACAAAACTCTGGAACCATCCAAAACCAGAAGCTCTTCCTTCAATATTTGGGAGATAAGTGCAAATTTTAAAATGATTTCTTTTCATAAGAAACCAATCCGTGAATTGCACCTTCAACTTGTGCAGCTCCAGTTCTCACCTGAAAAGTAGAATGACCGGACACTTCAATTAGTTACATCAGATATAGATTTTGCCATAGTTCAAAGAGTCTATTTGGACGAAAGTTATGCAGGATTCCAATTCTTGAGAGTATAAATCTTGATAACCAAATATCCCAAAATAGCTTAATACTTGGTATGAACTATAGCCAGAATAGCAAAGAAAGGAAAACCAAAAGCATAAATCAAACCTCAAGTCTTAGCACGCCTGATCTCAAAAGGTTGTGACCAGACTGCAAGGAGGAAGCACCGAGATCCTGGAAACCCTGCTTTACTGCTTGCATCGTGTAAGGAATGAACTTCAATACAGAACCTTTATCAGCAACTGCCCCAACAACCCCTTGAGCAATCTTCAACTTAGCTGTATCACCCAAGTACCTAGCATCACTCCCTTTCATCATTGCTTCTAGGGATCCCATACCTCGATATTTTTTGACTCGATGACCACCCTGTCATTTCAAATTGCAGATAATTTTAACGGGGTTTAATGTAGTTACCAGATGGAAAATACTACAGAAAAACAAAATCAATGATTAAAGTTGGAAAAAAAAAAGTGTAGAATAAAGAAGAGTAACTTATAAGAGGTGATAAATCCTTCCAAAACCACCACATCCAATTTTAGTTAAACAAAAAAATGGAATTCCAGTACACAAATTGATCAACAAAAAGCAACACGTAATCTTAAAAGCCATTTGCTAATTATAAAAAATTCTGAAAACATGGATACTATAAGTGCTTTCAAATACATTCTGCTCTATCATTAACTAAGTAAATTCTATCACCTAGTCAGACAGAATCAATGATCATTCAACTATTTACTGCAATAAATTTTTTAGGCATCCAGTAAAATCTGCATAATTTTAAATCTCTATTTCAATTGCATATATCTTATCTCACTATGAAGGGATTTACCGTCTCTAGCAAGCCAGTTCTATATCTGCAGAAAAGACAGGGAGTGATTAACTAATAAAATTCAAATTATCAAAAGAAGTACTCATCAAAAAATAATAATAGCAACAATAATATCATAAGCACAGTGGCAGCTACCTCAAACTCAAGACATATTGACCAATGTTCAGAACAAGCAAGAGATAATGTGCAGACAACAATCATGAACTCATAGATGGAGGAAAGTTTAAATTTTTGCCATACAAAATACGCAATGCAACAAGCACCTGATTTATATAAGTGCCAGGAGCTTCACTGCTTCCAGCTAAGAAGCTTCCCATCATCACAGTTGACGCACCTAAGACCAAAGCCTTGACAATGTGCCCGGAATTTGAAATGCCACCATCAGCAATAACAGGCACACCACTCTGTGCAGCAATAGATGCAACCTTGTAAACAGCAGTTGCCTGAAAATTTTACAACAGAACGTGTAAGTCAAATCCTTTTGAAACAAAATGGAGGAAAACTCAAGTTAAACTAGCAACATTTCAAATAATTTCGAATTATTATCAAAATACCCAAGAAACCATTCAAAACCCAGGTAAAAGAAATCAAGTCAACAGCACACAGTAGACATATATTTATTAAAGTGGACCAAAATAAACTAAATATCTCTATAACAAAAAATAATCTTAGGACTGAGAAACCACTTAGAACATACTAAAATGGTTACAAGCAGAAAGAAGAGAGACAGATTCATGCAATTTTTTTTCTTTTTTTTTTTTTAATTAAATCTACCATCAAATCTCAAAACTATATCGTAGGGCATTTTATTATTCAACATCTTAAACCAGGTGTTATTTGAATCATATCATCTTTAAGCATAGACTCAAAATATAAAACAGCATATAATTATTTTTTTAACATTCTGCTCTATCCAACATATGCACCCTAAAATACAGAATAGTTTCCAACATACTGCCCTATTCCAACATATGCATTCTAAAATCCACAATTGATGGCAGCAATAATAAACAAAATAATTGATCAAAACATTCCAATCAATACCTGTCCACGCCCAACAGCACATACTTCCTGAGTGGTACAAATGGAACCTGATCCCATTCCAACTCTCAACCCATCTACACCTGCCTGAATTAAGTTTCGAGCCTGGTACGTTGTCACCACATTCCCACCTATCAAATCCAAATCCGGATACAGATTCTTAGCATACTTTATCATGTCAATCTGATAACTTGAATTTCCTTGAGAACTATCCAGGACAACTACATTCACCCCAGCCTTCACCAAATGCTCCAGCCTTTCCTTATCGGATTCCCTTGTCCCTATCGATGCCCCCACCAAAAACTCACCATCCGAGCCCAGTGATGGTAGCCCCAACTTTGGAAAGCCTTTTATCCTCTCGCAGTCATCACTTGTTACTAGATTCACTATTTCTTCTCCTTCATCATTTTTATCACTCACTAATGGTACAAATTCAAGCTTCGTTTTTGCTAAATAGCCCGCAATATCCTCAAATTTATAACTAGCGGGCAATGAAACAGATGACTTTGTCATGTACTCAGAAACCCTAGCTTCCTTATCAGTTAAATTTTCCCAATCGGATATTTTAACCATCCCCAATAGTTTCGATTTCTGAGTTCCCGCTTCGGTTACAAAAATGCAAGGAGAAGAGGAAAACTCATCAGCGGATAGAATCGAATCAGAGGGAGATTTGAAGATGAGATCATGTCTGAAGGGAATTTTGTGTGATTTCGCTAAACGAACTAATGAGGCCTGGTGAGAAGGCGTGGAGTTGGAATGGACGATGCCGATTGCACCAAGGGAGGCCATGGCAGCAGCCATAGAGGACTCAGTCACGGTGTCCATAGGGGAGGCGACGCAGGGAGTGGCAAGTGCAACTCTACGGCTGAGCTTGGTAGAGAGAGAGACGGCGTCTGCTGGGAAATCGATATAGTGGGGAAGGAAGATAACGTCGTCATATGTGTATGAGTATCCCTGGTTGAAGAGCCTTGTCGCCGGAAACCCATCTTCTGTCATCAGAGTTCCGTCCATGGTTGTCGCAGCAGCCAAAAATTTTTAGGGTTTCAATGGTGAGTAAATTATTCGGGAGGAAATACAAGTAAATAAACTTTGGGTAATTATATTACCACAACAAAATTTACTTGCTACACCACAATTTTAATCAGTTTTTTTATTTACTTAAATCACCTTAAGCTAAATTACTTAATTACCCACTATTTATATAAATTCTTAAACATTTTTTTCTGAGTACACCACAATTTAAGTTGCTGCTTCTTCTTCAATTGACTCTTCCGCCAGTACCGCCACTTCCACCTTCTCGACATTTTTACGAAGAAGAAGAAAGAGGAATTTTATATAAATTCTTAAAAATCACTATTTCAAAATCATATTTGCTCTAGGACTGATGCCATCTTCTTTTTCCCAACTCTGTCCGGACCTGTAAACAGCAACTGCAGTGGCTGCTTCTGCCTGCCACCATGCCTTCTCCATGAGGCCCTTGAGGAGCTTTTTGTACGTATCACCATCCAATGCATTAGCAAATTTATCAAGGACCTTAGTCAGAGGTTCTGAGGAGATGCAACCCAATAAATCTTTAACACCGTCTTCAGTAGTTTTCTCCGGGGTGTTTCTGTCGCTTTCGGTCCAAGAACCAAATCTGTCCTCACCGAACTTCTAGGTTTGCTGCTGTAAATCTGTCCATTACCGAACCGAACCTGGAAGATTTAGAGCGCCCATGTTCCAAGGGGGAGACAGGTTTACCAAAGTTCTGTAATGGACAGAAGCAATGCTCTAAATCTTCCAGGTTTGCTGCTGTAATGGACAACCCGACATTTTTTTTTTCTTGGACGTAGGGTGTTATTCACATCCTCTCCTGTACAAAGTAGCAGACAAATGAAATAAATTACAGAAATTGTGAATTGAAATCTACTGCAAAAATTGTGAATTAAATTAGAAATAGGAAGCCATTTTTTGGTTATCAAATTATGTAAAGAGGATTGAAATTCGCGGCATAAAGTAGCCCAGATGAATTAGGAAAAGATTGTAAATTTTGTGTGTTTTAAATATGATGACCACACCACATTTTATAGTTTTTATTGGATTAAGGGTATAATTGTAAATTTATTGTGGTGTATTTATTAAAAATATATTTTAATTGTGGTGCAATTATAATGTAGTGTATTAAGTAAATTTTGTGGTGGTAATATAATTACCCATAACCTTTTCATTCTTGTCTAATTCCA